TCCTCAAATGAATCCAAAATTGCACTGCTGAAATTCAGTAATTTCATCACATGCAGTTTGAGGGTGCCAGAAGGCTGCAAAGGGGTTTGTGGGTTGGCCAGTTTTATTCTAGTAAAGGATAGAGCCATGGTTACTTGTTGTGAGAACTGTACATGAAATCACCAGGTAGTAGAGACGATGTACTTTGCATTTGTTGGTGAATATGGACAGGAAAGTGTTACTGTATTCCTATTTGTATTGATTCTTACTTTAATATTCATTCCATAATTATTTATTTAATTTTAAAGAAACCGAGCAACATTTTGTGCATTTTTGGTTCTTGCCTCTTTATCCATGACTAACTTTTTTTAAGTGCTGACAAAAGAAAAGTTAGTCACCAAATTGTGAAGCAGAAGCGTTAAATCTATAAATAGGTTTTCAGCACTTACTCTGTAATTTAGAGCCTGAGTTGGATTCTTCACATATCACATCTCTGCATCTATGAAAAATGGGGCTGAGACTCAAAATTTAGAAGGGAGGTTCTTACTTCTATCTTTGACCTCTTTAATGCTTCCCATTGACACAAAAGGGGAAAAAAAGGTTAAATGACTTTTCAAATTAAAGCAGTAATAATTAACTACTGGCATTGTTTGTGATTTTCCGACTCTGTGAGCTAATGAGAGAGAAATTAATGCTTAGCAGCAGGAGTTCCTGATATTCAGTGCCAAATGCTAAATGTGCCAACAAGTTAATTTTGGTTTTAAGTACTTCACTTAAGTCTTTTTGAACAATGAATTAGAATAGGGGTTGTATTCATATGGCACATGTACTAACTTTAATTTACAGAAGTGTGTGTGTATGTGCATGCACATGCACTCTCAAAGCATGTCTCTATCATCATGTATCCTTGTGTGTTCAATTTGTTGTGTGTTCAATCACACTCGGTCAATACAGAATTCTGTTCCGTTCTATTTTCTATCTTATGAAGAGAAACAATTTGTGTAGTACTTAGTACTGTCACTGACTCAAAGACAGAACTACAATTGACTTAATAACCAGTTTCAGACCTGTTAAGAAACTATAGTTGTGGTTATGAGAACAGACTTGGATCGTGGGCTCTTCCTATTGTAGGCATGTCAAGTTTTAAAGAATTTAGTTTTCAAATTGACCACAATTCTCCAGCAATGGACTGATTAAATTCAGGGCAATGACTCAACTCTAAAAGCAAGCTGCTATGATTTGGCTGTTCCACTTCACACTAGAAATGCTAGCAGAAGTTCTTTTGTGAATGTAGGGAAGAAGTTCTCAAAATGGATATTTTGGCGCAGTTTGCTTGCACTGAGGCCTTTAAAATTAATAAGTACATTAGTGTTTCATGATGCTCAAAGCAAAGCACCCCTTTGAGGTTTTGCATAGCTCTGCTTTTACACAGCCTTGACATAATCTGTTTCACTGGGAGAATAGATCATACACCTCAAAGTCACCAAGTCTTTGATTTTTCTCACAGAGAGCAGGAAAAGGTAGTTTGAGATCTCAAGGTTTCATACACTCCAGAGCTTCCAACAATTGCTAAAAATTTGCAACACAGCATACTGCACTTTTGATTAGGAAATAGATGAAAACTTGAGTGTAAGTCCTAAATTTCAGTTTTTTTTCAAAGAAGAGAATGAAAACCTCTTGTTTTCCGTACCTCCAAAAGGGGAGGCAGGAAACCTTGACATTGTGTAAGTTTTGTAACCATAGTCACTTTTATCATTTTCCTATGAATTTGGGTTATGCTTTGCCAAAGAACTTTAAATATGTGGCTACCAAGTTTACTGCTCTCTATAATATTACTGTCCCACAAACTTGGAAATCATGCCTGTCCTAGTCACCAATTCATCCAATCAAGTTTCCTTTTTTGTAGTTCACAGAATGATTAGCTGGGTCAAAAAAATCTAACCTTTTGGAATACAGTTGCCCATTTATTAATATCTGATATTACATGAGCCTTTATACCAGGATTGTATTGGCCAGTCTACATCACATCATCAATCCCTTCTTCACTGGTCAGTCATGCAATAATAAATATTGAAGGCAAAGAGAAAAAATCTAGAGAAGAAAAGTTTCAATATTGCAAGTTCTGATTTTCATAGAAATTTAACATTTGTCATTTTTTTTCTCTGCCTGATGAGCGCATCCTCCATTCCAGCAACACCTTTCCCATCACATATCAACCCACAACATGGCTGACTGGGATAAGGCTCTTGTTCCCCAAATAAAACAAAGATAATCAGGTTTAGATGTTTGTATGACCCACTAATCCCATCCACTATCCCTTCAAGTATGTTATGCCAACACAATCGCTACTGAGATACTCTTATATTCCTATCATTTTATAGGCAGACAATCGCCACATAAGTTGATTTTCCCGATAGCTCTCCCTTTTAGGATAAAAAAAATTATGTGAAAATATCCAGGATTGAGAATCCAATCTCAGTGATCAAGGACAGAAGCAGGCAGCCTTTTAGGGAGATCAATCATAGTAATCATAATACAGTCCATTGTAATTTCAATTGGATGATCGGCTTTTCTAATCTGCCTCCAAATTAAGGGACAATGGTCAACAAGCATGTAATTTGAAAACCACAGATTTAAGATGCCAAAAGACAATATCCAAGGATTAGATTGGTTTAGGACAGTTCTTGTGTTCTTTCTCTCTCTCTCTCCCTCTCTCTCTCCATTTGTGTCTGTCTGTTTCTTGGTTTCTCTCCTTTCATTGGAAATCTCTCGTAAGAAATATTTTGATAAGAAAGAAGATTAAAATCCTGCATGTGGCAAAGACTTTTGACTTTATGAAATAATCACTGATGTACTGGCAGGGCAAGTTTCATTGTTATATAGAAAACACTGATTTGCTATATCAGTGGAGGATGAGATATAGCAGATATCTGCTCAGTAATTGATTGATTGATTGATTATATCTATCAGTAAGGACATAGATTTTCTTATGGATGATCTAGCTCCAACCTGGTCTTCTAAGTCTTCCAGCAGTGCACACATTGCTGCTGTACCAAGTCCATCCACCTTGCTGCTGGTTCTTCTTCTTCTCTTAACTTCTACCTTTCCCAGCATTATAATATTTCCAAAGAGCTGGGTCTTCACATAATTAGTCCAAATGTTGGAAAATAGAGATTTGTGTTTAATACAGAAAGACTGGATTAGAAAGCAAGCTTGTAGTTTTTACCTAACTCTGACCCAGTTTTGATGATAGTAAGAAAAAGAACCATAACTAATTTAATAACCCATTTACTTATTGCTAGAATAAAGCCAAAATAAGATTTTCCCTCACACACTGCACATGTCATGTACAGCCGTCTCTTTAGAGAATTCATTTTTTTATAAAATTGAAATATGGTAGCAATCCTAATGCAGCAAGTTGGTAATTGTGCAGTTTTTTTCCACACACAGCCATGTTCAGCTGTTTTTACAAAATTCAGAATATTGCCGAAATCTTTATGGATGTCCCTATTTTGTTATGTGGCAATAGATTACAATCCAGTAATCTCTTGACACAAATTGATTGAAGACCACTGTAACCTGGCCTTACTGCCAGTGAACATTTAGAAAGAATTATTTAGTACAGCTAAATCTACAAGGCTAGTCTTTATTTAGCATCTGTCTTTCTAAAACACCTGAGCTTTTTTTAAATGAAAGATGTGATGTCAGCACCGAGTACAGGCAACTGCTGCTGAAAACATTAGAAAGTAATATCTGTGAATCCTCAAATGGCAAAATTAAACATGGGGGTGGCAGAAGGTCCAATCTAAACAATAAAAGAAGCTAACTAGGTTTTATCCTTTTTGAAATACTTGTTCACTTGTCCTTCTGCTTTTGGGGCAAGCTCCTTCCAGTTGAAATAACAATATCTGATGTTGCCAACAGTTTTGATAGTTGCATTATCAACCTAATGACTGTTGCTCTCTTGAGACATTTCCATTATAGTTAAAACATTTTAAGAAAAGCTGGCTACCTTATTGGCTGACTGTAGCACTGCGTGCAGACTATTACATGACATAGCATTGAACTTGTATATATGATCTCTTACAGCTCCTCCTATACTGTTGCTGTTCTTGGCAGCTTACCTAAGCTGTACAATAAATCTCAAAATGAAAAAAAAAAAACACTTTTTGGCTTCAAGTTGTACACCCTGCCATGACATTAGATTACAAAAAGCTGCTCTCTTTTTAGACATCCTTTTACAAACAGAGCATCCATAATTTATGATTTCGCTGTAAAATTCTTGCAACACTACGCCAAAAGTATGACTCCCCTCTAATTAAATGCTCTCAAAAGGAAAAAGGTGAAACTGATGTGCAAAACATCGAGCTGTACACTTTACACATTATTAGGCCTGAACTTCCTGGTGGGCATGTGAGGAATAACAGAACAGCAGAGTTGGAAGGGACCTTGGAGGTTTTCTAGTCCCACCCTCTGCTCAAGCAGGAAACCTTATATCATTTCAGACAAATGGTAGCCCAGTTGCTTCTTAAAAACCTCCATTTTGGAGCACCCACAACTTCTGGATGGAGGCCAGGCCTACAAAGACCTGATGGTAATCCGAGAAGTTGCTTGCCCACAATAAGAAAGCATAAAATAAAGGATAATTTGCCTTGATGGTCCTCCTACTAATTTTCAAGATGTGTATTAAAAATCAAACAATCTCCCCCCCTTTTGGAACTCCATTTTTTTAAGCTCAAACTGTTAGGTGCAACAAATGAGCCTTCTGCTACTAGTGATTAAATATGATTAAGATTCTTAATCTATTATTATTAATCAGGCGAAGGCAAAATATGGAGATTACAGATTGTCCTTCCACTAAATGTAGAGTGAGGATTTAATACTCCTATCTCTATAAAGTATTTTACTATTTTTCTGTGTTTCCCTTAAAATTTATAATTCTGAACGTTTGCAGATGATATATGTGATGGCTGTTCTGCATAATAATATCTGGTTGCTGTTGTTGTTTTGTTTCAATGTAGATTTGGTCCCGGATTAGTGATCTATTGGTATGGATTTATCGAGGAACTTGACTGTCATCGCAACCGGGGTATCTTGCTCAAAGACTGTTTCCCTACTGACATTGCTGTCCTTTGAGGAAGAATGGCTGAGCCATGAAGGTGGAAAAGACAAATCTGGAATTTTCCTGAAGTATAAACTACTGGCAACATCTGTCCTGAACTTCAGCTGAACTCTTACTGGCTGGGATCGCCCTACCACCTCTTTAGACAAACACGTCAAGAGCCTCTGTTTTACTTCAACCCCCTGCTGATGCAAGCAGCCAAAAAATACCGACACAGCCCAAACATTATCAGCATTTCTGCCTCTGTCAAACAGTTTATAGATAGCTGTAATCTTTCTTCCTTCCGGATGGCTTCTCTTTGCACTTTCAACAAAAGAAGAAATGTGGAGGTCAAAAGGTGTGGTTTTTTAGTTTTCCTCCCTATAGCAGAGTCACCTTAAAAAAAGAAAATGTCTTCAGTCCCCCAAAAATTTCTTGGTAAATGTTAAAAATCTTGCAAATACAAAGGTAATTAATGTCAATCTCCATTTTCCCAGGCTCATTTTGGGCCAAAACAGGGTAAAAAAGAAAGTCCCTCATCGGTGCTTTGTTCTAAGCATGAATTTCTAGGCTTTTCTTGGTATTAGGCAAAACAGTTGACACTCCTATAACTATCTAGTGTTGTTGAAAGTGGAAACATAAAACTGTAGAAATGCTTTATCTTCAAACAAAAAGCTTTCCATATTGTTTCTTGAATTAAAACGGAGGCATGTTTTTATGGATTGTAGAAGATGTAAAGGACATTTTAATGCAGATGTTTTAAAGCAAAATAAAGTGGGTCATTGTTTGAGTCTTGATCTTGTCCTGATAATCTGTCTTGCAAAGATATTTTTAAAATCAAAATTAAGACAAAGGATTTCTTTAGACAACATATTGTGGACATCGCCTAGAAAGCAGAGCTCTGGACCTTACATTTTTTATCTACATATTAAAGGTCATGTTCATAAGCATAGAAAATTATAGCAAAAAAGGGCATATACTCAAATTTAGCTAGTTGGGTCATATAGCAGAGATTAGCAGACCAGGATTATATTTTATAGTTGCTTTAGAGGACAGGTTTCCAATCCAATAACTTTTCAGGACATTTTTTTCCCTTAAAATCCTATTATAACACTTATTTTTATGATTTGAAAGGGTAAACTAAACTTCTATATTTTTTATCATTTAAAATTCTTCATGAGTTTGTTACAATTTCAGGCTCTTTAAAGTCATTTCTGCCCTGCACAGAATTACTTGAAGCAGAACTATTCATTCATATCAGGAATTCTATGTAGAATGTATTTTAATGTCTAGATTGGTATGTATTCTAGATTATATATTTATATCTCCGGTATGCATTTTAGATTTAGTTTTTCTGCTATGACACATATAGAGTTCAAATAAAATATTAGAGAAACAGTACTGATTCATAATATACCAGAATGTATATGTAACAGAATGAGGCCACAATATAACTTGATCAACATTTTGAATTTGAATCTAGGAAGAAGTGAGATTCTGAATCCTGAAATTCTCTTGCTTGCTCTTTCACTTCCTTTTTTCTATCTTTTTCCTTCGGCCTTTCCTTCCCCCTCATTTCCCACAAGCCATTCAAATAGCATCTTTCAAAATATCTGGAATCATTTTTCTTAACATCCTTTCTTTTTTATACACATTTTTGCATTTATCCAAACATGTGTACAGCAATTTGGAATCCAGAATGTTCAGAGGCAAAGGGGGAATTAAAGTCTACCACTTCACTTTAGATCATATCCAACTACCTAGCATGTTTCTTATGACTATATTCTGATATTTTCTTTTTAAAAATCCTATTTGCAAAAACTCACTTGCTAAGAAAACAGAGATCTTGGTAAATGCCAGAGGTGTCTATGAACATTATGGCAACCATGTATGTTTTGTTAAATACTTCATGCCTTTATATATCCATTAGATCGTTCTGCCGAGCTGTGAGTTGCTGAGTTTTTCCAGACACCAATTATTTCAAATAAATATTTTTGCTTTAAAAAAAGAAATAATCCTTCTCTGTCTTTTATTAAAATAAACAGCCACTTTCCCACCCAGCAATGCTACCCCCACTATATCTTGGCTACTTGGCAGAGATAACCCTGCAATTTTTGCCATTTCTTTGGAAGATCAAACTTTTCATCAGGACCTTATTTCAAACAGCTGTAGGTCAGCAAGTTATTTGTATTCAACATGAATACAAATAAGGATGGGTTGCTTGATTTGCTGGTACTTAAAATCTGCTGTGTGTAACTTATTGAGGAAGCAAAGAAAGCAACGTTTGGGTTGTTTTAATGGCATGCAACTGGGAAAGAATGAGACAGTCTTGTAGCATTGTCTTAACAGATCACTGAAAAAGTTTCATTTTGTGGAAGCTGCAACAACAGATGATCCAATATTTCTCTTACGCTCTCCTGCTTACTAAAATAAAATGTAGTCGCGATATGTTGAAAATACTCTTCAAGCCTGATCTAATCTTTGTGGATTGTATGGATATTTAATATTGATTTTATTTTCAGGAAAGATAAATAAAATGAGATGCCCTTAATTTGGTATATAGTATACCAACTCATATAATATATGAGTTCAAAATCTGCCTAATTGTCTTCTTAGTTTTTGACTTTATATAAACACTTTTGGGTTTTTAAAAAATAGAATAAAACAAGTCATAAAGACTATAGAGTTTAATTCTGCATGGCCTTGTAGTGCGTTGCCCAGTCACACAATCTATTTCACTATAGGTTTAATTGACATCCGCTACTCTAAACAGAAGTTTACAAGCTACAAAGTTTGGATTCAAACAAAAAACACATTATGATCTACCAGAGTTAGGCCAATTGAATTCTGGGAGATAAGATTCCAGTCTACCGAGAAGGTGTCAGATTGGAAAGGCCAGATTTGGGGAACAATTAGTTTTAAACTGACAAATAGTATTTTATTTAGTATTTTACACTTCCCATCATTTATACTACTGTCATTTCCAGTTGGTATACCCATAAGTAAATAGTAAATAGACTAATATTAATTTTTCAAGTTATAAACAAGACCAAAATTGCTTTGCAGACAGAAATTGTATCACTCAGTTAGTACTTGGCAGACTTAGTATTAGATAATAGAATATGTTCCATGTAGTCCAGTCTGCATAAAATAGTCTATTTGGGTTATGGAAAGGTCACATTTTACCCAAAAATTCACAGGTCAGAGGAATTATTCAAAGCTTTTTCTCCTGGGTATACTAAATATTATTTGAACATTTACTATTAAGAGCATGCCAGGATTCAAAAGATTAAATTGGATGCATTTATGAACTAAATAATAAATAAAGCAGATTTAGTTCCTCTTGTGTTTTTTTTATTTTCCTGTTATTGTTATACATATGACTCTTATACAAAGAGCAGCTTATGTCAGCTACTATAAATTATGTTTTGAGTACAATGGTAATCCAGTAGAATTATTTCAAAATCTGATCAAAGCAACTCAACACATTTCCTCCCCACAACTTTGCTATATTAGAGGAAGAGCCTCATTTTGCAATTTTAATGGAGTCAGTTTAGCCAATGGTTTGGGGTGAAATTCAAACAATATTAAACCAATAAGATGGAAGGTCCTTTTTAAATCTGAAAAGGCATAATATCAATTGATTTATTTAAAAGAAAGCTTTCCTATCATTTTTATACCAGTCTGTACATATAATATCTGGTTATAAGTAATATTAAAGAGAAGTTCTAACGTCAGCTTTTAAGTTCACACATTGAAATGCCTATCTCAAGGCAAAGCTATTTGGGAGTATTATCAAGTGTGTAAATACAGGATGTGACTTCTCAGATGTTTTTTTTACTGAATGTATATAGAATCCAATAGCCATAGCCTTGATTTTCTAAATATCTTTAGAATGAAATTCTTCTCAAGTATGAAATAAGAATAATTCAAATTATAAGGGTAACATTTGCATAATAAGCAATACTACCATTGTTTTGTAAAATCTGCTTGCTTATTAACTGACCAATTTAAGAAAGTACAGTCAAAAGCTAACACAGTCCTGCTAGCCAGAAATTTTGTGTCCAGTACACAAAGTGTATACTTGGAACAGGTTTTGGCTGCATCTCCAAGGACTGCTAAATATACAGAATAAAAATAAGGGACCAAATGCTTGCTCTTCAGTTCCAGAATACTGAGACCTGGGAGCAAGCTTTTTAAACATTTTAAATTATTGAGTGACTTGGAAGACCGCTGCTTAGAGTTACCAAGGAAAGCTGGAGAATGGAATATAACCAAAGAAGAATACAATGTAATCTCCAGAAACAATAGGAACTATGGGAACTCTATAAGAGAAGAAGAAGCTAAAGATGAATTAAGAATGAGGATTGCAAGAAATATCAAAAACAAATAAACAAAAAGGGTAAGACAATGGGGAAGGGGAGAAGGCCAAGAAAATACACGATGCTTCTGCACATGTGGAGAAGCGTATGGGCAGGTAGGTGGAGCCTTCTGCTGCCGCCACTATCGGTTTGCCCGATCCGCGGCGAACCGGCAGAAACTCACCTCTGGTCTAATAATGTAGAAACTGGATAATTAGCAATGGGTGGTGTTGAAGAGAAATGGTGCCTTACCTGATTATTGTTATATCACTAGGAGAATGAGGGAACTACAGCTGAGAATAGATCAGGAGACAGTAACAGAGAATTTAGATACATTATATGAATTCATGTCTCCGGAGCCAGATATATTGCAACCTGTGTGCTAGAAAAGGTTTATTTTAGCAGCCTTCTGAATGGTCTTGGAGAACTGAAGTTTCAAAAGATCGGATGAGCGTATATGCCATCTCTATTTTCAAAAAGAGGAAGAAGGACAATTAAACAAACAAGACCTTTCAGCTTTGTGTTTATAATGCGAAAGGTCTTCAAACATATTATTGGATAACCATGGCACAATTAACAGAGACAGGAATGAATTTGTCATACATTCTGCCAGAGTAAATTTATTTCTCTCTTTCATAGAGTGACTAACAGAGTGAGTTATGTGAATGCTAAAGATACAGGATACCTGGAACTTAACAACGATTTCAACAGTGTCTCATGATATTCCCCTTCATAAATGGTAACATATTGGCTATATAATACAATTGGATTCAGAGTTGGCTGAAGCACCATACCCAAAAAGTACTCAGCAATGGTTCCATTTCAGCATGGAAGAAAGAATGAACCAGGGTGCCCCAGGTTCTCTTCTAAGTGCTGTGCTATTCAACATTTTAGTAAATGGTTTGAATGAGAAAATAGAAGGGATATTTAACAAATCTGTAGATCTTGGAATGCATTGACAGGAGCACAGAGTCTAAATTATAACAAGAAATTAATCTTAGTTACTTCCCATTTGTCTGTTACAATGAGACTGGAGATCATTTGTCAGAGATGCTGCGCTAGGTTATACACTGAGCAGATAGACCTGGTACATAATCTGGAGGTACTCCTAAACTCCTACTCAAAGAGCAGGTAACTGTCCTGTCTAGAAGAGCCTTCCACAACATCATGCTGTGTGCCAGTTCCACTCTTTTCTGAATCATGATACCCTGCACATGGCCATGCCATGTTCATGTTGAATTACAGCAATGCTTGAAGAGTATTTGGAAGCTACAACTGGTACAGAATGCAGTAGCATGGACAAATCTGAAGGCCCCTTGAGTAGAAGGTGTGACACCACTGTTATGTAAGCTGCACTGGCTGCCAATTTTCTTCTGGGTTCAATTCAAAGTGTTGGTCATTACCTTTAAAGCCTTTTATAGCATGGGTCCAGGGTA